CGCCCAAGCGAGACCTAAAAGTCAAGGAGAAACGAGTTAAACAGCCTAGCGATTCTATCCAGGCCACTGTGCTAATTACCCTCCCAGCTATATAATACCGAAGGAAAACTACGCCAGAGAGCAATCACTAGCGTCACGTTAAATAAATTATTTCAACTTAGCAACGCTATCTTATAATGTACGTGGTGATCTCGTGTGAGAAATTTAATTTTACTCGACGAACGAGATAACCTTTTTTTGCACGTTCTTTTATTTACGAGCACGAAAAGTCATTGCGACTTGTTCATACGATCCTTCAAGTCAATCACATAGTATTAAAAAGTCCATCAAATTATCTCCCGAAAACCTTTCTCATGTCCAAAATCAATTGACCACTTTGGGCTATTTGGAATCAGCGATTTTTCTTTCTCTCTTACTTTAAAAATGACGCTTTTAGAAGAATTACAAAGTGAAATCCAGGCCTTAAATTTCTCTCCAGACTAGTGACGAGAATCCTCACGCTTGCTCCACATTTCACTCTCTTCTTTTCTCTTTGGACGCTTTAAACGTACACTATAGGTGGTACACTCGATGTGCACAAGCTCTTCGATCACGGATTATACAACGACTCGGCTTGATTTGCTGGGTCGAGAGAAAGAGAGAGAGAGAGAGAGAGAGAGAGAGAGAGAGAGAGAGAGAGAGAGAGAGAGAGAGAGAGAGAGAGAGAGAGAGCCAACGATCGAGTCGACAAAAAATAAGAATAGATTCCTACTCTATTTTATTTCTACCTTTTGCTTTCGTTTTTTTCAGCTTTTTGAAAGAGCTGTGACACGAAAATAACAATTATTATCGAAAACTTTTCGACCATCTTTGAATTACAGCATTGTTCTGTCGCCTTGTAATTTTTGTCGATTGATAATTTTCAAGTAAAAAACACATTTCTAAATCAGAAAATTGTTAAAGTTGTACTTAAAAAATTGAAATAAAAGCAAAGTAAGTAGTGACATTTGTTCTGACAGAAACTTACAATATCGTGATATGGTTTCCAAAAAAAGATAAAATTCTGCTTTATCCATTATCTTTAAAATATTATAAAATTCCTTGAATTACTCGATTCCATTAAAAGAACTCAATTTTCTCTTGTGCCTATCTATACAATTATTTTACGTTACAATGAAAATGAAGCTATCAAAGTACCCAGTGGATCCAGTGGAATATATCGATATCCCATTAGGATGGTCTTCAACGGTGTATGTTTAAAGAGGAAATGATGGAGAAAAAGGTAAAGTGCTTTTAGGGAAAGAGAGTGGGAAGCGCTCTAATCATCCACAATTAATGCATCGACAGGATTTGCCATCGGTTAATCGGCAAATGTGTTTGTAAATTGGCGCAAATGCACGAGTGAATTATTCACGTGAGGTTTTATTAATGAATTATAAAATTTTTGACTGAAAAACTTAGTTTATTACGACGATTAAGAGAAGATTATTCATATAATACGAAAGGATAAAATTTATTTTGTCTCTCCGTTTCTCGGAAAGTCCTGAAATATATAGTTCTTCATTCAAAGTCGGTTAAATCGAGCATGTACAAGTTAATTAGTCGCACACGCGCTACCGCTTTTACGAGGAACACTCGCTTGCATAGCCTGTCAGTCATGAAATTGCTCGTAAAATACTCCTCTCTCGCCTTCTCTTTCTTGAAGCTAAAAAGAAAAGAAGTTTATTCATTTTCTTTTTCTAAATAAATAATTAGCAAATTTTTTGTGTACAGTGTAATAAATAGAAAATGTGATTTCGAGCTCTCTACGGAGTATCATGGGATTATAGCAAAGTGCAAAATGGATTTCTCTTGCTTTGAGAAATTTATCATCGAGTTTGCGAGTTTGCTGGTCATCCTGTCGTGTACTTAGCACAGACGCGTAAGCATGTAACACTGGCATGTCCTGTATGCACGTTAGCTACTCCTCTGCGAGCTTGTGAAAGTGTTAGAATCTGTTTGAATGTTGTTGCAACCGTATTATCTTAATTATCATTTATGATTACTTTTCCGCTCTATGCCATTGTTCCAAACTATTAATTATAAGGCCGATTACGAGGTATTCAATTAAAATACAAAATCGACTGTAAATTTAATTGCAATATTGATTATTTTATTGGGATTTGGACAATTTTTTTAATTTTTGAGCAAAAGTAATATGTTTTTAATTATTTGACGAATTAACGCATCGTCAAATTCCACTCGAATATAACGTATATTATTAACTTTGACATTAAACATCTGAAAATCAGGTTAAAATTTCAACGAGGCTAATAAAGATCGGGCAAAAATTTTTTATTTCCCAGCTGGCACTTTAGCCAACTCATACATTATATACTCATATTGGCAGCATATTATATAAAAAGACAAAGAAAGTCAGCCGGATAAGCACATTACTTCGTTTCTCTTAATGAATGGATAGAAATTTAATAAACAAATTCAACTCTCGCACACGCACAGCACACATTCAAATCCCAATTCAGTAAATACGAGCAATCGATCAACGTAGAGCTCATCTTTCCCATGCGGAAGGAAAGAAAAAAGAAGAAGAAAACAAACCTTTTAAAATTCCCACGAGTCTATAAGTCACAATCGTAGCCCCTTCAACTAGAGACAAAAACGCGGAGAGAGAGAGAGAGAGAGAGAGAGAAAATGAATCGTAGCTTATATCGTATCCCCTTGACGTGCATAGATCAGTTGGGTCGCACTGCGTGCATCTTGTCCGCAACCGTAGAACTTAGTACACGCGCGCGGAACTATCAAGGCAACGAAAGCGAGTAACAGCCGAAATGAAAGGTTGTAAATCAGGCGGCATAACCGAGTACAACGAGGGCTCTTGTGACGTAACAAACATCGATAAACAGAGTGAAAGCATGTAAATACCAGGCAAATGCACGCCGCCTGCTTTGTAAGCGTCTGTGTGCGAGTGTAATTACGGTCAAAGTCGAGGTCTAGGAGTAGTTTCAAGGCAGCTCTCCAGCGACGTTCGTAATCTTTGTGCATGACTAACGTGTTTACGCGAGTGTAATTACTCGACGACGGAGAGATGTCGCTCGCTCTTCGTATTTATCCCGGTTGCCCCCGATGCTAAGTATCTATATTTCATATACTAATTAACGTATTCCACTTTTTTCATTCGCTTTATTGGATCCCATCGAAAGTTGAATCATAGCCTTCACTTCAATTACGATAGTTGGACAAATGAATAGACAAAGTTTTTGCCATCCTTCACTTTTATTTGATTTTTTTTTCACTGACGATCACTCGTCCCAATCTAATTGTGCTTCTTGTTGGACTCTGAACATTTATTGGCTCGTTTCGAGTTGATCGCGGGGAGGGGAGTTTGACAGCGATGGCTTTTTGCAGTCGAAAAGCATGCACCTGGTGGGTTTTCAATTAAAGTCCATTCCGTTTGCGTGCGATTTTTATGGCTGTTTAATCAGTCTCTTCAGCCTGAGCCCGTATAATATTGGGAACGAAGCAAACATAGAATATACCTCAAAGTTCGTTCTAACGTTCAATATATTATATATCTATTCTGAGCATTACTCTTCGTCATCGTGTGATAAAAAATATACAATAAAGAGACACAATGATACATTTTCAAATTATTCTTTCTAAACTCTATCCATCATCAAATCAAACCGGAATATGTTATCAAAATCACCTTCAATTTCTTTTAATATCAACTAATCATAACTAATCATAATAGTAAACAGGTGGTTTTAGATAACAATCGAATTGCGGCGAAATGATATAAAGTAAACTCGAGCAGCGGCAGCAGCATTGATTCCAAGTGAACCGCATGCAAATACACACGCCTGCATCGAGCCTTAATCTAAACATAGCCTATTCCAAATGACAATTGTACCCCTTCCCTCGTCGCGTCGCACGCTATTGTGTTTATTTCGCTCGTGAGACTGGCTAACAACGGATCTTCATATCCGTTTTCTGGCTCAATTTGCATCTCACTGACCTCGCAATTTTCGACATGACTGAACCCTGTACGTCGACATAACCGTTCACCGCGCGTTTGCTATGATATATGCATACTTGTGCATGGAATTGTCTTGGCTGCTGACCGAATTTCCATTTGACATTTTAAATTAAAAACAATAAATGCACTGTTTATTTATATTCTTGATAGTGTTTGTTAGTTAGCTTTGCATTTTTTTAAATGCTTATTCCGCATGTATTTATTTGTTGATGAGTAATGTAATTTTAAAATATTAATGTGAAATTTAATTAGAAAATAAAATATACATTTAACCGTTGCACTAAAATGAATAAAATTATATGTGTACTAATAATACTTTTATGGAAATGATCAAAAATTGTATCGTGTATAATTTTTGTCTTGCAGCTTACAAGTCGTGTGATTTCATTGATCCAAAGCAATGATTGAATTTATAATTGATTATCTTACAACTGGCAACAACGAAATTAAGCTCACCTGATCGTGCAGTGATGAAAAAACCTAATCAACTAAAGAACTCAAAGAGTAAGAGAAAAAGAGAAGGGACATTGCGCATTCTTAGCTCCAATGATACAATGCAGCGTCGGCATTCGATTACCTGTCTCCCACGACGCGCGTCGCTGCTGCTGCGGCAGGCGAGAGAAAGCCTGACATAATGCAGTAGCAGAGAGCTGCGACTCCGTATTGATTTCGCACGAGCCGCTCTCTATCTGGTGTCCCACGGAAGATACGCGCAATTGTCCCACGAGAAAAGGCTATCGACAGCCTTCTGTAATTAAAGAACTTCTAGAAGCGAGGCATGTATATATATATCCGTATATCTGAGTAACGAGAGTACCAGCCAGTCATATGCAACCAGGCACAAACTGTTTACGCCCCAAGCATCACATCAGTGTAAAAACCTTTGTTTTTTTTTTGCATTTCGGAGGGGTCTAGTAATAGTTTGGTTTTTCAAAAAAGTAAACCTTTAAGAGACGATTAGTTATATTTCATTTTTTATTTGTAACATTATTTTTATTGTATGTACAGACAATATATCGGATGTATATACGACTGATATTTAATACAAATAATAATTATTGGTGCATCGACGATCAAAGGTCAATATATATTTATATATATCCTATTTTTGTTTTCTCTCTTTTATATTTCTAAAGTCGAAATACAGTATACACACTATGTACATAAATGGAGAAGTGAAGATGTTTATTAATAAGCGATAAAAAAATGGTTAACCTTCCCCGCTTCAAGTGCACGAACATTAAGTCTTGAAAAACAATACGTCAAAATTTGATAGCGACGTCATGAAATGTTTTAGTTACATATGTATACATAGATATATGTATGCATGTAAGTATGCGTGCATGTATGTATGTATGTATTTATGTATGTATGTTTGTACGAAGATAAACTTTTATTTCATTACATATAGCTTCATTTTGACGGAAAATAATACTATTATTCTGTTTCGTTTTAGTGTGATCTATAGATAGAAATACATAGTGCATCTACAGGGCGAATGGAATATTTAGACACTGTGTTTGATATTTGACTCACATATTTTATCGATTCACATCAAAACAGTTGTTTATCTAACTCAATCTAAAACAGACAATTACGAATTAATTTTATGCACTAGTCACGATTAATGAAAAATATATGTTTTTGTTTTTATGGCAGTCAAAAAATACTTTCTCGAGTTTGTATACGCTAAAAAAGTTATCGATACATATTAAAGTAAAAGTAAAACATACTTAATGCAAGTTCAATTTAACATATATCGAATTACACGTGTAAAAATGTCGAAAAAGGCAGTATTTAACAATAATCCTCAACGCTCGGTGTGATAAATGTTTACGTGTCCAGCACGCACGTTTTTACAAAATGAAAAGGGTATTTACAATAATCAAAAGCATCAGACTGCTCCCAAATGCTGAACTTGAAGAATTCGCAGATGTCGATGGCAATTCCTGTGCAAGTCTCTGATTACTTGCGGCCAATGATGCGCGTTTTTCAGTTTTGTACTCCGGTGCCGTGGCAATTCGAGGTATGACTGCTTTGCAAGCGACATTGAGATTGCCGTCGGGAAAGTGTTTGCGGGTCAAGAGTAACGACAGGAATGCTTTTGATGGCACTATATCGTACTCGTCCAGCGGGTACGCCGTCTTGTCATAGCGCACGTACGCGGGCGGCATCTGAAATTATAAATCAGTTTTCTTTGTTGTAAAGATAAGCCATCGCGGTTATCACTTCCATTCATCATTTCAAAATCTCCGCCTGACTACGCAGTGGGTATTAAACTCAATTGGCCAACTGCCCATTAAAATATTGAATATAATTTTTCAAAAGTTAATGGTTATATATCGCGCGCACACCCACAGCCCCCTAACAAAAAGTCAAGCGAAAGTGCCCTACAGCGTGGTTGCCGCACGCACGCGATAACCAAATTCACTGCAGCTGCCAACGTAAAATTCGAGTAAACCGCCCATCACCACGAACATAGCACTGGGACGATTTTATCCCACGGACAGGATGACGCCATCCTTGCTAATTCAGTCTTTCTCTCTCGCCTCTCATGAAATTCACAACTTTCGAAATATACGCTTTTTCCCATGTGCGTGATACAGAGCCGTTTCAGACCTATTCTATAATAAGTCTTCCGATCCGTCGATTTACGATGCGTGCGTGCTAAGCTAGAGTATTTGCTGATTATCTTGATTTTACAACTACACTCGGGGGGAGAGCATCATAACGTACACTTAGTGAAACATAAAAATAAAAGATACGTCACCTTGTTCTTATTGATGTAGAAGACAATCTCGGCGGGTGGATAACTAGGAGCGGACCTGCAATTTACATCGAGACGATCGTCCACCTGGTAGTAGGGTGCGAGACCTTGGAGTATAGGGGGACTGTTTGGTAAAATTGCTGCGCTCACGTTCGCTACTGCGATGTCAGATTGAAATGTATGTTCTACCGACACTTCGCACGCATATGTTCCTTGATATGCTTTTATATCTGTCAGTTGCAACGTAGACAGGTCACGGTAATATTACAGTGATTACAAATGAATAGGAAATGTTTAAGGAAAAGCAGAATGTCATCGATTTATCGATATGCAGCTAACAATTAACTTACTCTTTCGAAAATCTGCGTGGCCCTCAAGAGTCAATTGTTTGCCGCTGCTCTCGGCCAAATTTACTTGGACGTCATCGGACGCCTCACTAAAGGCTGATCCGGGAGGACTTAGAGTTGGCTTGTATCTGAACAGCATCTTGTCGTACTTGTACCAGTCGACCGAGTAAAGTTCCTTACCTCCCAAATCATACTCGCAGCGTAAAACCAACTTGTTACTGTGTGGGTCTATGATTGTCGGTGCTTCTAATTTCTGCACGATTTTCGAAGTCTGTGGTTGCTCCGTTTTCACGCTTACTGTAAAAATGCACAAAGAGAACCCGTTAAGATAAATTAAAACGATACCTTGCACAGAATGTCAGCGCAAGCGTTATTGCAAGCGAAACTGCATAGAAACTGCACCTAGGTCAAATCATTTATTCAGAGAAACAGGCGTTCCGGGATATAGCCAACTAATTGAAAGTATTCGCGCGCAGGGTCATTATCGGCAGCTGCCGAAATCGTAAATTTTCGAATACCCCACCAAGCCACGCTCGATTAGCTTTCGCCGAATCGATGACTTTAAGCTCGCACTCGCTTGCCCGCTTTGGGTGACTCGGCTATTTCTGAGAATATGCTTTTTTAAGGCGTGGCGTCGAGAACTTAATGACTATGAATAACCTTTTTTTAAAAGAATGACTGATTTGACAAGAAAATACATTTAAGTAATAGGCTCGATGATTCAACCTTGTTTTATCGTGGTTACTAGTCACTCTAATTGCTTCAAGTACCCTTTACAATATTTTTTTATGTATTCGAATATTTTGTACGAACATGAATCTGTATTTGTATTAGACTCCAAATTTGTGATTTTTCAATTCCATTTTTTTCATATTACAATTGTGCAATATTCAGTAACAAGGCCAATGTCATAACAAATCCGCATCGTAAGTCCTACTTCTATCTGTAGAGCAACAAAGAAATACACGAGCATTAGTGTCTCAAGTTATACAAATAAAAGAAAAAAATACAATCTATCTTGGAAGTAGATGAAAACCAATTAAAGCCAATTGTACTTCATCTCTACGAAGCAGCGCGTTCCTCTGTCTTCATAAATAAAGTGCGTTCTTATGTCGTACCATTCGTGATAAAGCATAAGGGGACAAACGAGCCATTTGTGAAGTGAGCAGATGCATCGTGGAGTCTCTTTCTCTCCAGTAAACACGCAAGTGACATTTGAGAAAAACTTTCTATTTCTTCGCAAACACAGACTTGGAAGTTTATTCATTTGACGGCTATTCCATGCATTTTTCTGTCGTTCGAGAGATCCACACACCACACTTTATTTTATTAGGAAATTTGGACCTCTGGCTATAAGTTGAGAAAGAGCTAATTATGTATAATAATTGACTCACACTTTTTTATTAACAAACTGAATTTTTACACACCCAGCCAGTAAATTTTCATCGAAAAGTATCTGTTAGTTCGGAAATGACAAGTAGGCAACGTGACTAGCGGCGATTCTCGTTTAACAACGAAACATGGTCTTCCACTTATAGATGATATTGAAAATCATATAAACAATTGAATCGAGTCGAGTATGTGCTGCAAATGGAAGGCATATTAAATATTTATTAATTTGCGTAATAGGCAAGAACTGCAAATAATAACTTTGCCTACTCATAATTTCAGAATGTAAAGAATAATTTTAACGAAACGTAATTTTACGATTTTTTATAGTACTAGAATTCGTTATCAGACCAAAACAATGGATTGCAATCCAAATTTTCGCAGACTAGCCAAAGTCGACAATGAATCTTCTCAAGAGGAGAGCATCCATTTAGTTCCGTTCTCAGCGTGTCTCCATTTCAAAGTATATTAATTAATCCGCTAATTATTGAAATAACTGCCCGAGTTAATTGGCCCCAAAGGACTCTTGAACTTCTTACTTCAAAATCACCAAAGAAGTCGGCTATGTATACGCAAAGACAAAAGCGATACCAGGAAAGGGACGGCTTAATTTATATACCACTTAAGGAACTGAAAGAAACGGCTGCTTATGTCGTACAGAAGTCTGTTATAGAATACATATTCAATTTACATGAAAGGAATAAATTTGATCTTCCTTTACAATATTATTTTAATAAAAAAAATCAAAGAAGAAGAATCTTTAAAATGAACCCGGAAAATTAATCGAACAGTCGTAATGTGAAGCCATCAGCTATATAGTTAGACTATAATATAGCTATAGTAGCAGCGTAGCGAATGGTTCGCATAAATTCAGATTTTCTTATGATTTATTCAAGAGCACCATGGCTCACTACGAATAATCGATATCCGCGACGACATCGACAACGACGACGACGACGACGACGAAGACGAAGACGAAGACGAAGACGAAGACGACGACGACGACGACGACGACGACGACGACGACGACGACGACGACGACGACGACGACGACGACGACGACGACGACGACGAAGACGACGACGACGACGACGACAACGACGGAAGAAAGTTTAACTGTTCGATGACTCGTGTACACCGGAAATTCCAAAGATTACAGGTTCACGAGAAGAAATAGAAGAGAAATCTGTTCGTTATCAGGCTAATGCATTTCAAATGTACGCGAATTGATGCCGTAGAATGAATAAAATGATTATGCTACACGAGTTTGGACGTGGTGACTATACGTAGATTTATGCACTTTTTATTAAAGTTTGTTCCATTATTTAAAATTCATTGTCAAGTGAGCTAACTACGAAGCCCTTTCATATTCTCGCAAGTATTTTACGGCTAAACGAGTAAAAGTGGTTTAACATTAGCCAAATGGTATTTTACTGTAAATTTTAAGAAAGACATTGATTCAGCGCGGTCTGTATTTTCAGAAATAAATGCCTGAAATATGTAAAGAGATACGTATCCAGTAAAACTCAAGCTAGAACGTAATTTTACGGCTGAATACACACAAGTCGTAAAATCAGATAGGTCAATGCAGTATAGATCGCGGAGTAGAGAGTCCAGTGGGGAGTTGAACGGAAGACACATAATTCGTCTTGAAATTGAATTTGCCTAGAGCGAGCGCTTCTACACACGTGGTCGCACCAAATGATCACAACACAGTCATCTTATATGTAACCACCTCATCTCGATACTCGCGTGGATTTGCCCCAATACCTCGTCAAAATTTGAATGCGCCTCTGCTATGATGCCTTGCCACAGGAACAAGTCTGTTCTATATGTGTTGCAACGAAACTGTGTTGCCGTATACGACAATTGCGTTTATACAAGGCTGATTATCCGCTCGTAGCTGAGAGAAGGAGGACGACCCTGTAGGCCAAATGAAATTCCGATAACGTAATTACTTTATGGAACGCGTGTGTCTACGAACTATCAGTGCCTCGGGGAATGCTTCGTTCGTCAGCTACATAAATTCCCGATTATTCCGTCTGATATGGCTATAAGTCCTCTTTGCTTCCACGGGGTGTGATTGCGCATATGTGTGACTGCCGAGGATTAATTTCTAATTACTAATAAGCCAGTATTTTAGATAAGGTAAGTATAAAGTTTAAGGCAGTTATCACTTCTTTCCTAGGCTGCATGACAATCGATGCAAATCATACTTTGCCTTGACATAGAGCTGTGCATAAATCTTTGTTTGAGTCATTAATAAATAAGTGCTTTTATTGTTAGCCTCGAATCAGACAAACAATCGCAAGATTCAAATCAATTGGTCACTATTAAGAAGAAAAAAGAGGCCCTTGACGAGCACTAAGTACGTCCTCTATTTAATAAGTATATATTGGGAACCGTCGTGCAATTATCATAAGCGCGCACATGGCAATTTCACCCTCATCGTTTGCGTCTCCCTTTAAATCTCCGCATAAGCCCGTGCGCCGCGCGGCCACTTATTTTTTACGTCGGAGATCTTCAATTGTTTCTTCTCTTCTCTCTTATGCACCGTTCACTATTTAATTGGCTCTTTCATAGTTCTTTTTTTGTTCTCTTCGAAACCGGAAAGAGCACTAATATACGTTTTTTATTCGTTTATTATTATTATAATATTTTTTTCAACTATCAGATTTGAATACCTATTGCACAATTTTTCCAGATATTTTTTTTGTAAATCCAAGTGCAACGTTTCACAGATAGCAATAACAGAAAAAAACAGCCACTTTAGTCTTTCTTTCCACGCTTTTTATGCTTTGTGAAATAGGGCGTGCGTGCGTGTCCGAAGTTTGCTTTTTTACCGTCAGTTTGAACGGTCGAATATTTACTGCGTCTAACGCTTGTCGCTATTGCGAAAAATGGGCCAAACGATTGTATGAAGGGTAAATGGACTATAAATTGAATTTCTTTTACTAACTGCTTTCAAATTTATGAAATTTCTTGCGCATATAAATAATAATACAATAATCACAAAAAAAATTGATAATAATCTAATTAATGTTTTACTCTTTTTCAAGTGAAAATTGACCTCAGTAAAGCCGATACAGAAGTTTTAAAAATATAACAAATTACAAATCAAAGTTTAAAAAATAAATTTATCATAAGCTCTAACACAAGTCGAATATCGAAACTGAATCACAATAGAATTTGAAAAATATCATGCATGATTTGAAAAAATGAGAGTTATTTGATAAAACCGAATCTTTTTATTATGACTAATCCGTTTGACGTAAGGTATGTTTATTTGAGTATGTAATTTTTATTAGACTCACTCGCTTCGTTTACATCAGTAGTGAGTACGGGAGACGAGTTAAGATACGAAGGAAAAATATATAATAATTTGCTCTTATAAGGATAATAGTGCTATCTGAGAAGATTAACAAGCAAACGAAAATTGCAATGAAGTTGTAGCTGGATGAATAATCTGACTCAGAAGATTATTATCACTCTGAAAGTAAATATCAAATGAAATCAAGAAATAATGAAATCATAGTCGATAAATTTAGTGTTACAGAGTATAAAATGAAGTGAATGACACACATCAATGGAAAAGGATAAAAAAAAATGAAATTCGATCAAACGCGTAAGACAAACATTACAATAAAATTACGTTCTTTGGTAAAAAAATTAAGGATTGTAAGAAAACTGATTTTTCAAGAGACGATATGAAATATTCTGAATAAATATATTTTCCTCAATATTCGGTTTGAATAAGCACAAATAGATTTTGTAATTTTTATGCAATATTTAATAAACTGAACTTTTTATTAATGCAAAATATATTGTAATTAATATATTTCAAATTCATTTTATGGAAAAATGTATTAAGTTATTCAAATACTGCACGGACAGATGTAATCCGAATCAAATATAGAAACTCATGATAGGATTAAGAAGAAAATTAATGGAGCATTAAAGAACAAAGGTATAATTCAACCTTGTTCGTTTAAAAAAATAATTTAAGCAGATTACTCGTATAAGATTCAGTAATTTCCAATTCCATGAATGCATAAAAATGGCGCACATATCATCAATTTATTGTTTCATTTTATGTTCCACATAATTCCTAAAGTATTTAAATATAATAAGAATAACAAATTCATTAATAATAAATTTTGTCGGTAATTGTTTTATTTACAATTTTTGAAATTCATTTTTTTTTTAAGTTAAGCTAGAGGCCTGCAATGGCTCGGTCGGTAGGGCGACGGAATCGCACCCAGTAGGCGGCCCGGGTTCGATTCCCAGTCCCTGCTGATTGATACAAGCACCACTGAAAAAAGTTTCATGTGCTTTATTCTCAAACACATTGCAAGCCTCCGTCGCTGATTAGCACTGATGGAGCATAAATAGAGCGACGTTAAATAAAAAAAAAGTTAAACTACATAACAAATATTATTTATTAAATTAAAATACGTTAGAATAGTTATCAAGAACTATAAAGTATAATATCGATAAATCCGGTATAGTTACTGAGTTACTCAACTATTTTCATAATCGATAGCGCTACGTTACCATATTACAAAGTAATATAATAATTAAGATTAGCGGTGGAATGGAAAAGTTTTCATTGGAATATCTCAGAAGTTAAATACTTAAAACTTCATAAGCACCATAGTTTTTTGATGAATTTATTGGCAATCCAGTTTCACACAAAATAATTACGTACTCAACTCAGCTGCGAGGTTCATTAAAGTGCAACTTCAGTGAGAATTTCAATTAAAAATCACTTAGTGTAATCCACTTTAAGGGAGGAGAGAGAGAGGGAAAATTCCACTTGAACTTTATGATCAAACGTTCAAAGTTTCTCACGAAAAATATTGCACACTCCAATAACTTTCAATAGGAAGTGTAACTTTTCAAGAAAATTTTCGTTCTCCCCTCTCTCTCTCTCTTTCTCGAGCGCATGCATACCATAAAAGAATGAGAACTGTGAAAGGTTTTTTAACATAACTTTGATGATGTAACGATGAATGGTAACTTTATTTAAAGGTGCCAATAATATGCCAAAATTTCCACGTGACAAACAAGTAAAAGGTTCCTTTCTTTAACTCCCGTACCTAATCATTTAGATGCGACACATCGCACAATTTTTGAAAAGCTTTCTTTCAATGAAGATCGCACAAACTTTTCAATTAAAAGTTTTTCTTCGAAGCTAAAAGGTTTTTAGCATCATCTATCGCGGATACATAAAACTTGCAAATAATAAAAATTTTCAAAGAAACATAACAAAAAGCCTCTCGTTCGCTGGCTAGTCATAAAAACATTCCCGCTGTCAGCTCGCAGGAACAGTGAGAAGAAAGAAGCAGAAGAAAAATAAAAATAAGGTATACTGATTGTAAACTATCACTGTAAATACGATGAACACAACTAACAAACAATGTATTCAAGTACTATTGCAAAGACTAATGTTACTTAAGGTAGCAATTTTGTATTTAGCGTAATAATCTTGTAAAATTAAAATTACTTGAATTAAAAAGAAAAAAAAAGGTCGTTCATGCAAAAGAGCCTAGCGCGACAAGAACAAAGTAAAAATAGAATCACCTGTGGTGAGAGCGGCGACAAGTAGTAAGAGTCGCATTGCGCTCGGCCACCTGTCGAGGAGGAAGAGGAGGCACGTTTCACCAGCCCTAGTCATCATTATACCTTTATCAGACTTGTATAGTTATTGCCACGAAACTTCCCTCATCTTTTCTTTGTTATAACCTCCAAGCAATGCTTGATTCTCACAACGAGCAACTGTTGTCAACATCTGTTTGTAATCAGTAATGTGCACACATATTTTGTCGTTACACTGTGTCACCACGAAGAAAATTGAAAGAAAAATACAAATAGCGAAACCACTGTATAGTTCATAACACACAAAAGCTCATGAATGAGCGCAGTGTAGTTGTACGTTCGACTTGCGCGCTGCCGCGACACAGACTAGTGCCTCTCGCACCACCCGGCAACGCCAATCCCACTTGCGCATGCCCCGTTTGATATATATGACGTGCTTTGCAGTCGCGTATATTTGACGCCGATCCACGTGCCCGCGGCGCGTTCGAACAATTAGACCCGTATGTAACACCGCGAAAACGACACGAGGTATTCGAGGCATGCGTCCCTGTCAGTACTTTATTTCGAAGGGGATTAGTATTATTCAATTTCAGTCACGTGCTAGTTTTGGAAATGTCGTTATTCGGATTTAGGATACTGAATCTGCTGTTTTATGACTGTCTACTGAAGGGAATGAATAAGGGTAGTTTCTTCAATGATTAATTAATCTGTCGGCGATCTCTATATCCTATCAGACTTTCAAGTTAAAATTGTTACTTATGTGATAAACCTCATTTTTGTTAAATCTTTTATAAAAGCTACACTGCTTTTACATTTAATAATAACAAGTTTTTATAATGTTTTCTGTACTTTGTTTAAATATTCGGTAAACCTTAATCTCGAAATTACTTAAATTTCAAGAAGCCACATTTTCAAGTTTTCATTACTTTAGAAATAAAATTTCATTACAGCTAATTACTCAACCTTCTCTTTGAGGAACCCAAGTTTCATCCCGTTTGCTCTTTCTCCCTCGCCCCTTCCTGTCAATAAACAGATGTCTACCAATTTCCCATATGTACACGCGGTGAGTAAGCCGTGTACGTCGTTCTTTTTATAAGCACATGTGCACGTGCGCGTGGCTTGGACTTCCGTTCCTAGCCGTAAACCAATTAATTCGGATCAAGGGGCTTTGGCTACGACTAACTTTCATACACGTTTCCTTACCTCGATTATTAGACTTGGCCACATTTTACGGATACGAAGCCTTACAGGCTTTTACTTTTTCGTGGTGTTTCTTCATTTTCACACAAAATATACTTTTCCGTAAAACAGAACAATGTTCACAGTAATTCAATAGCAATGTACAAGTAATACTTGCAAACATTTCACTATAATTTAATGTATTTTATATTTATGTAAAGATAAAATTATGCTGAATTCATAAAAGCTTAAGATTATAAAACTTTACAAAATTTCTAATCATACTAGCTTTTTAAAAATGAAATAGTGCATATTGAAAATGGGTTTTCGGATTTTCGATGGAAATAACAAAAATTAATGTTTCTCTTTCTATTAAATCTTAAGCGACGAAAATTTTATAATAAAAAACGTCAGTTATTCAAAATTTATTTCTAAAAGAAGTTGATAAATCAATATTTTACCATAAAAAGTTTTCAAAATTGAAAGAGCAAAAATCCCAATTAATTTTATAATGAAGGTGAATTGATTGTATTGCTTATTTTAATTTTATAGAAATTGTGATGTATTGTACAATTTCATAGGTGTATTTATAAATTGTTTTGTTAGAAGTCCGTTTATAAAATATTTCGTTGATTTATAGATGCTTGAATTTTATTTCGCTTCTTGAACGGGTCCATTTTCTTTGTAAAATAACTTTTCTTTCTTACTCAGCAAATCTTTGCCTATATATTGAACGAACCTACAATGCTTCCTCCATCCGCAAGTTCGTGCTTGTGGAGCGAAGATCCTCGTTTCCTGGGTTGATGTACGCGTAAACTGGAAAGTCCTGTCGAGCGTCGCTGGCAGCTGCTAATGGACTCGCGAGCGCGCACGAGATCGTATTTCTCTCCTCAGCGAGAATATCCGTGCTACCTATACTCATTCTTGCCAACCTGTTCGTGAGTTTCAATTGAACGTATCCAACGTGTAAGTAGACCGATGATTTAGTATTACCAGAGATGTTTCTTCGAGCTACCCTTTCTTTTTCCCTTTCGCTTCTTGTATTAAGCACATGTAGGAAAAGTTTTAAGCTTTTTATGAGAAGCCTGAAGCTCATGTGCGAAAAAGTATATGGCCACTTTATATTCGGAAGAAGGGTTTGAAGTGACGATAATATGCTACTGGGGAAGCTGAGGGGGTAAAAAAATTTGTTTCATTTTTTTGTTTCTTAGTAGATACGAACATTACTTGTTATGAGACAAGTTATGGAAACGATAAGAAACGCATCTTTTTGGACAATAAATTGCTAGTAATATAATATAAAAGTTGAATGGATCGTAATGGTATGAGCTTTCTCCATTTTCTATATGCACACATGCTCGAATAAATTAATGTCGTGATTTTTTCAACTGACGCTGTTGCTTTTCTTCTCGTTGATGGACACAACAAACTGAACTTACGAGACTTTTTTTCGTCAAGGTGCAGCTTTTACAAGAATACGTTGTTTTTAAAGCAAATAGATCTGTTGCAGGGTGTGTAGTGTTACGAGGAGTGTAGTCTACTTTTTGTTCATACTTGTACGTCAAATACGTTATAGTCGTTTGGTCAACACGTATGGGATTTTTAGGCCACAACGAATTCTCGGAATCTTCGGATGAGCGAATTCTTGAAAAATAACTCTTAGAGAAAATTCAATTTAATTGGAATTTTAGTAGCTATCTTACGTGCGAATAAAATATCCTGATTCACGCTTAGCTCGTTACCTTGGGATTTTCACTGTTTTAAGATTCTCTAGAATAACTTCAGAGAAGCAACATTTTCTTAGCTGATGAATGTACACTTATACAGTAAAATAAAAATAAATCCTTACGTTCAATTTCAGCAGTTTGAACATTAAGATCAAGTAATTCGAGATGACATTAGGTACTTAACAAGTTGTAATAATATGTCTCAAGTATAATACACTCTCGAATATGTAGCCGCAACTTATCTACTAGATGTCCCATTCAATGAGCTGCAGTGAAATTAACATTTTATAAGAATTTGGCATTCTAGTCAACATCATACATCTAATGAAATAATGAATTACGTTTGGTTATTATCAGAACGGCAGACTGATCGGTTTCGTTGATCAACGTAACACGTGACAACCGCAAACAACCGCAAACGCTCATTATTCCGATTGCATCCTATTTAATAGAATTTACTTGATTTTATAATAGTTCACCCTAGCAAGACAATTGCGTGCTTTAACTGAATTATTACTCGGCTAATGAACGGCTACTGCCGCGTCATATCTATTACTTACTTTATTTGCGAGTAACCCCCGCAGTACCTCGTACTTTAGCTTCTCACTTGTAAAAAAGCACTCCCTAATTTTTAGCTGTTACATTGAATTATTTTAATCAAGGTTTCCTTTTTCTATTTTTCAAAATTCTTGCTTCCGATGCAATATTTTATACGACAATATTGGATGAAATCTATGAAGAATTATTTATAAATCCTAACTTTTCAATTGGCACTTACAACTTTAAAATGTCTTCATAAGCCAAAACCTTCATGGCGTCACGTAATTTTCAAAGGCAGTCAAACATAGTTTGAGTAAAGTAATTGTCCGGAAACGTAGCATGAAATCTAATTTTTGAAGGATGTTAATTGGATTATGTAGGTCAAAGCGATAATCAAAGCTGGCATGACATGACGATATTATTTAATGCACTGATTACTTTGAACCCTCCGAAGCTTTTCAAAGTAAATACTGTGCTTAACATTATATTATTCAGTCGATTATGCTAGACGTGAAGTGAAGCTTCATGTTTTGGGATTGAAGCTTTTAGCAAACTTTGTTTTCTTATTATCGAATTCGTGGATGATAACCGTAAGTTAACGCTGAACGAGCATCGATAAACAGTCTATTATCACTATCGTCTATCGCTATACATGAACCGTGCATCCGTCGACAATGTTTACAGCAATATGAATACACATATTCTATTTCACATTGTGAGCTTATAACAATGAGGGCATCATATTCCACTTTTCAAAATTGAAATGAACCTATTGATTTAAATGAATGCATTTTTTGAATGAAACTATTTGACTCTTAAAGTAATCTCTAGCTTTTCTGCCTTTTCAACTAGCGACAAAGTATTAGCAACTTAAATTCGTGCGAATTCGGATGCTCTTCTCTCGTGCTCCAGCGCGATATGCGAAACGATGCGTCTGGTATAAATGTATTGTGTCTGACGGTTGTCTCAATTCCAACCATGCCTGTGGTGTGCTTCAGACATTATACGTCACCATGCGTTGCAGCAGCAGCAGCAGCATTATGCGACTGGAGGCTCCGTTCCATACCAAATCACCTGGCTAACGACCAAAGAAGAAAAACGAAGCGAAATAAGGATATTGCAATGAACACGTCGCGACATGATTAACGTAGAATTGCTGATCTTAAATCTGAGAAGCAAAAGCAGCAGCAACTCAGCCGCAAGATCTCTCTCTCTCTCTCTCTCTCTCTCTCTCTTTCTCTCTCTCTTTCTCATACTGTCTCCTCGCGCAAGCACAATAGCCGCAACTCTGCGCGAGCATCGAACCCGCCCATCCGCACTTGGATAGCAGGCGTGCGACTGCTTGCGTAATTTATCGGCTACGACGACGACGAAACGGATATCCCCACAGTCCATGGCATTATTCGGGCCATCCTTCAAGCGCACTCTCAAGTGCACACGCTAAGGTATAGAGGAAATGGAGCTGCCTCAAGGGAATTCACTTTGGCCGCCCAGCAGCAGCAAGCTAACTTTGTGATCTTGCCTGGCATTTATTGCCGATGATGTTGTCGTCGAAGAAAATTAGTAGTCATAGATTATTTTCTGGTCTTTCTTTAATGATAGGGCACGATGAAATCTTTCGGTCTCCATAATATTAACGTACTTGGTGTAAACGAGAAATGGCCTGAACCAAACTTATAGCTCAATAATCTTCGATAATCACTGATAATTTAGGTTGTCAATCGGTAAACATGACTGCATGCTGTAATGTTATGAAAGTTAGTTCCATGACGTCCAACAAAAATTGTTATTGAAATATTATTACTGAACAGTCCACTATTATATGGACATAAACCTCCGCCCAAAAATAGTAGAGTTTTAGATATCACGTGAAAATAGGTTATCCGTTGGCCACACTCATCTC